ACACACAGAGACTGAGTCCTGTTGTTATCGTACGCTCTTTGGTTTAGTTGCAGAAATCAAGATTTATGACATTTTTATTACAAAAACGAGCGCCGTTTGTTGTGGGAGCGACTGTAAAAAATAATACATAGGACACACACAGTTAAGTGCAGTGGTGTGTAGGCGCTGAGCGCTAGAGTGGGACAGCGACTGTTTGGGCGACTGCCCGCTGCCGGCTGACTTTAAAAATATGCAGCCAGGCGCATCAAGGCCTTATTTGTACTCACTCTCTCTCTCTCCCTCTCACTCGTAAGGCTGAGCAAGCTTTGGCTCTGGTTTCTGCCGCCGCATGCAACGGAAGGCGCATAATTCACAAAACAACGGGACAGTCTAGGCGTAGGAATATGAAGAGAGGGAAGAGTGGAGAGCAGAGCTCGGTCTCTCTCTCTCTCTCTCAATGTACTGATTGTTGTTGGCAGTTAGCATTTGGCAAATGCAATGCGAAAAATCTGTGCACCCGGACCTTAGGACGCGTTTTTGACTCTCCATTTTAATATAAACAAATTGCAGCGGCTCTTATTTATGATTTCTTTTTCTCTCGCAAGCTGTTTCTGCTTCTTCTTCTCCTGGTTGCAGTGACTGCTGCATTTCTTTTATTGCGGCCTGGATATTTTTTGTTGTTTTTGTTTTGTTTTGTTTTCTTGCTCCAATAAATCTGCGAGAAATATGTAGGAAAAAAATAATATCTCGAATTTCAATATGGAAATTTTTGCATATTTAATGTAGTACACTTTTAGGGCTGCCAGAAACTGAATTCCTTTGATACGAATGTTTCTTGTACTGATTTTTTATCTCTCTTTAAATTCCATTAACAATACGCATCAATTTGCATCGATCATTGGGCTAACAATATGTCCAGAAATACAAAATAGAATAATGGGTAACAGTAAAAAACAATACAATACAATATAAAATAAAAAATGGCGAATGGCATGAAAAATAAGATAAATTCCAGCCAGCAGCAGCTGCGCTAACGAGCGTCTCAGAATAGGTGGGCTGGCTGGCTCCTAAGGGAGTGGGAGTGGGAGTGGAAGGGTGACAGCGTTCAATGGAGTGAGTGGCGTGGGTGAGTGGGATGGAATGATTGCTGCAATTTTTAGTTTTCTTGTCAAGCAGCGAACGCAAACTGTGCTGAGTAATGCGCCAGTGGGAGAGAGCGGAAGTGGAAGGGGAAGAGCGATGGAGTGAGACAGTGCTTGCGAAAAGTTGACGGCACTTTTGGCTTTTCGCTTAATACAAATGAAAATGGATGAGCTACTAAATGTTGTCATTGTTGCTGCTGCTGATGCTGCTGTTGTTGTTGTTGCTGCTGCTGCTGCATCGAGTGCATCAAATGGAATGAGCGCAGAGGAACAGCAGTAGCTAAACTCTAACCCCGCTCTTATACTCTTTGTCTAAGCTATGTACGCTTCGGCCATTTCTTAGTTGTAAATTTGATGTCAGGCAATTGGATATGTGCGTGTGTGTGTGTGTGTGTGTGTGTGCTTGTTTGTTTGTATGTGTGCCATGCCCTTTGAATGTTCTCTCACACTCTCGCTCTCTCTCACACTCCATCTCGCTGCTACTGCTACTGCAGTGCATGTGTTTGTCTTTGTTTTTTATGCCATTTATTTATTTAAGTCAATTTCGTTGAGTGTGTTTGAACATTTTGTTGCAATTCGTTTTTGGGTTTTGCTGTTATTTTCCTTTAGAATACCGTGCAATAAATAAAGCTTATATAAGGTTGCTTGGCTTAGCAAATGCCCTAATTCAAATTATTTCTATTTTATTTTATCTAACTCTTACAGTGAATTTGACATTGAAAACTGTACAGGGTATCTTACACATGGCAAACTTAGATGTAACTTTTTTCTTATTTAAATACATAAGACAAATAATATTAATATACAAATACAATACATAAATGCCTTATTGCAATTACAGGGTAGCTGTTAGTCTCTCATTCACAGCACTAGCATTTACAACTGTTTTTTATGCCATTTTTTCAGTTAGCATCTTCTGTGAGAAACTTGATGACAATTTTTACTTTGAGTGATTGCAGCGGCATCGGCTGCAGCTGGAACTAAATGAGAGAGACAGGGACGGCAACTGAAGGGGTGGGTGCGGCAGAGTGGTATTGGTGTAAGTTCACTAAGGCAATAAAGAAGCGCACTTGGGAAGAAGCAGCAAAAGAAAACATAGATATATATGCAATACACATACATACATGAATGAGCTGATTGTTAGTGTTGGAAAACATTCAAGTTAATTGGCTGGCATTGCGGTGCTCTGATTTTAAGTGTG